GTCCATCGACAACGAGGAAGCCTGGAAGCTAGTGGTTCCTGCCGAGAAAAGGCATCAGGTACTCGAGGAGGTACACGATGCGCCAGCAGCGGGACACCAGGGGAGAGAACGGACATTCTCCCGGGCTAGGCACCTGTATTTCTGGCCGAAGATGTACGATCAGGTCAGAGAGTACGTGAGGAGTTGCCCGGTATGTCAGCAATGCAAGGCGGAACAAAGGCCGCCTTGCGGGCTGATGGGTCGTCGAGAGGTCTCGCGACCCTGGCAGGTGGTGGCCAGTGACATTACTGGCCCTTTCCCAAAGAGCTCGAGAGGGTTCGAATATATTTTGGTCTTTTTAGACCTGTTCACTCGGTGGGTGGAGTGTGTACCCGTACCTAAGGCCAATGGTAGGACCATTGTACGGGAATTGCACGAGAGGGTGGTAACCAGTTTTGGGGCGCCAGACATATTTCTTTCGGACAACGGGACCGAATTTAAGAATCAAGAGGTCGATGCCTACCAGTCGAGGAACGGCATCCGGCGCGCCCTTACCCCAGTTTACCACCCACAGGCAAACCCCACAGAGCGAGTGAACAAAACCCTCAAGGCCATGCTCATATCGTACGTGGAGCGGGACCATAAGAGCTGGGATGAGCACCTGCCAGAGTTCAACTTTGCGTTGAACTCGGCAACTCATAGCGCGACAGGTTACAGCCCGGCCATGCTGGTCTTCGGTAGACAGCCCACTCCTCCCTCGACCTTTAGGAGGGCCCAGGATCAGATGGCTCGGGAAGCTTCCGAGGGCCAAGAACTGGCCGAATGGGGTGAGCACATGCGCCAGTTACCCAATTTATGGGAACGCGCTGGCTCTAAGTCCAGGGAGGAGGCGGACCGTCAGGCGGTCTACTACAACCGGAGGAGACGTCAGGCCGACTTTAGGGTTGGGGACTGGGTGTGGAAGCGGAACCGCATCTTGTCTTCCGCAGCTCAGGGCGTTTCGGCGAAGTTGGCGCCGAAATATGCTGGTCCATACGTAATTCAGGAGGTATGTGGGACTAATACCTACCGCCTAGGTAACCAGCAGGAAGAGTTGCCCGAGCTGATCCACGCCAAGGACCTCAAGCCCTATTTCGGTCCATTCTCGGATCAGGACAACGAGGAACCAGGAGGCGGGGACTCAACACCGTTGGAGGAAGAGGAGGGCGTAGGCGACCCGCCAGCAAAGGTCGAGGAATCCAGCGAGGATCCGATATGCGAGCGCGTCACGATGGCAGCCCCCGCGAACGAGTGTGAGAAACCCGCGGCGGCTCCAAAGGTACCGATCGAGGCGCCGGTTCAGCGAGGCCGGGGTAGGCCGCGCAAAAACCCTGCGTGCGAATCTCAGGCACCAGGTGGAGACGACCTGGATGGCAATGCGGTAAGGGGAAGAGGCAGGCCACGTAGAACCGCTCAGCACGTGCGGAAGGTGGTCCTGCCAGCTACCCCCGCAAGTGGGCCATATTCGCGAGGAAAGCGCAGGGGACCGGGACGTCCTCGTAAGCAATAGCGTCGAGCGTGACACTGCGACGGTTAGGTTGAATGCTGAACCTGAGAAATCCCTTAACCCCACTTCTTCTCTTTGACAGATGGAGAGGAAGCTGGTCATAAGTGAAGAGGCCTTCGAGACGGCCACCCAAATGCTGCTCGACCTGAGATTGGGTCCGGACGCCGATCGGCTGATCGGGGACGTCCGTAGGTTTTTCCGGGCCCACGTCGAGGTGGTCGCTCGCGAGGGCCGCTCGCGCCAGCGGGTGGACGACTTCCTCCGGGAAGGAATGAGGGCTCCAACTTCTAAGCCCGTGACCCGGGAAGCGTCCACCCAGACCGACGGCCCGTCCGAAGAGGGCCGTCGGTCTCAGTCCACGACGGACCAGGGGGTGCAGACCCCAGAGCCGAACAAGCCGGCGACGGCTGACGGCTCCACACAGTGCCCCAGGCCAAGGGAGGCCTGTGGCCAGGGGCAGTGGGTCTGCAACCACCCACGGGTCCCCCAGCAGGTAGGGCTTGAAAACTCCTGGAGGCACGTGAGGTTGGGCCTCCAGGAGCTAGTAAATGCGTGGGAATTCGTCGGGAACTCCAGCGCCAGGTACACGCACACCTGGGGGAGTTCCTCGACTTCCGCGGCGCCCAAGAGATGCTGGGGGAGTGGACTCCGGTAGTCCGGCGGCAGAGGGCCTATGGTGAGGCCCTCCTGCGCATTGACCGGGGGCAGGAGTCCCCAGAGGCCGCGGGCCCGCCGGCGGTGTTACCACCGACGACATCAACGAGTAGGGACGCGGCCAGGACTCCAGCCAAGCCCCCGACCAAGACTCAGGCCAAGAGAGTCTCGGGGGCCCCCGGCGCCGGACAGGAGTTCACGGTCCGCGTGGACGGGTCGGTTTCCGACCCTACCGTGGTGGTGCGTACCTTGGGAGGACGCACATCCGCCACGGTGGGCGGCGTTACGTTCATCGCCGCCCCGGTAGCAGCAGCCACGCCGCCCCATCCACCAGCAGGGGGCCAGGGCCATGGGACGGAGCCCAGCCTCAGCAGAAGACCAGGCAAGGGCTGCTACATTTGCGGCCATCCCGGTATTACCACCACGTCCAAGTACCCCAACAAGGCGGAGCACTGGCGCTACCCAAGACACAAGGCGCCAGGGGGCTCTGGCAGATGACGTGGGGTGTGGTGGCCCGGGATGGGCAAATAAAGCGTGTGTTAATAAGGATGGATTGTGTTGATTTCTCTCCTTTCCCAATCCTGTCCTTAGGGTCGCGAGTCAGCAAGGTAGTTCGATCCGGTAGTTCGAAGCTAGGAGGGGGCTGCAACGATTACCGAAAATCGTTAGACTCGCGCGAGGTTAACGAGCGGCTAAACGAGAGGAGCCGCGTTCGGTTCGCGAGAGAGAGAGAGCGCGTAGGGGCAATGACCGGGAGGGGAGGCTCCGACCGGCAGTATGACTGTGCCACTCAGTCTGTCAGCGTCGCGCTAACCTCCATTTTCCCGAGTTTTTTGTTTTTGCCAGTGACATTGCGAACTTGAGTGCGTGGGTGGGTGAGCAGCAGCAATAGCAGCAGCAGCAGCGGTAGCAGCAGCTATATCGGCGGCAGCCCTAGCGGCAACAGCAATTTAGCGACAGCAGCAACAACAACAGCAGAAACAGCAATCGAGGCGGTGCAGCAAGTAGCGCAGCGGATTATTAACAGCGTGTTAATCGGATACGGTTGGCCATCGTATCCTCATCGTTCTTGCGGTAGGTGCACCTTTTCCCCCCTTTTGCTATTATAATTTGCGTGCGATCCCGCGCAGCGAGCGCGAAGAATTTGTTTGTTGCGCGCGAGCGGTTAGTTCGCGGCATCCGTGGTTTTCTCTCTCTCTCTTTTTCAGCGTGTATTGTCATTCGCGCAAGCGTGCGCAAGACTCTCGGCAAAACCCCCGTGTAATTAACTTGCATGAATAAAGTGAACGTTAGCCTTTATTTGATCTCGTAATCATTATTGTGTCTTTCCTTTGTCTGGAGGTCGCGTCAGTGTTTGTTTACGGTCGATTCGAATTCGCCGGTAACGTAGCACGAAGCACGTGAATCGTTCGGCGGGAATCTTCAACTTAGGTTCCAGCGGCGGCCGCACGAGCGCTACTAGCAAGGGGCGACAGCGCCACCAAGCGGTGAGTTGGGGGAACCCAACTCGGAATAGTAAGAGACTCTGCGCAGGCGCACTCCGAGGCAAGGTAGGTTACTGTGCTTTGAGCATAGAGATAACAAGGCTTCGTCTAGTCGTAATAAAGGCACTTTCAAGAGATTATCGACTAAGCGACAGCCTGTTACAATTCATATAAAGAATTTTATGGGTTTCCAAATTATTTAAAATTAGACAAAAAAATTCCTTATGCATAAGTTGGAGATGCTTGATTCATCAATTATTCAGTACTACTCTACCAAGTGAAAAACAGAAGGATATTCATTCTATTTATACTGTGAAAAATTTATAACCCATTTTGCTAGACACTTAATGATGGCTCATAAGGATAAAGATATTGTAATAAAATTTCTAAAAGATGATAATGAACCGAAGTATCCAGCTATTAATTTTTTACGTAACCAAGGGCTTGCTCACTCCAGCAATTGACAGAGATTATAATTCTTGTGCAAGCATCAGCAGTTATGCAAAAATTTTATAATATTTATTCGTTATTTATAAATTTTACTATCAATAAATTATAATTTCACTTTTTAAAATACAACTATCAATTATCAATATTGTTCTTTTGTAACCATGTTTATCTTTATAGTAATATTAATTCCTAAGCTTATATAAAACTACTTAAAAAAAAGCTTCATAAAATCATTTGAATAACTTTATTATATTTAAAAATATTACATTTGATATGTATGTTGTACATAAATTTTGTAGCAACAAAATTTTTAAAAGTAGATAGTGAACTAAAGTATTCAGCTTTTAATTTTTTACGTAATCAAGGTCTTGCTCATTACCAGCAATTGACAGGAACTATAATTTCAAGTATCAATTTTTCAACTCTTCTAATCATATACATCTTTATAGTTCGCCTTTTTATTTGACTATTATTTACTACCTTATTTGACTTCTTATATCTATATTAGACAAAATAGTGTACGATGTGAATCTTATAGCTTTGTTTTTAATTGAATGATTTGATCTTTGAGCTTAAGGATACTTTATAATAATAATTAAATCACATTTGTTGTCCTTAACACATAAGTTTTATCACAAAGTTACATTAATTAAGTATTTATAAGAGTAGAATCTTAAGCTTTTTTATATAGAGTTTTTGTTAAGATTAAGATTAACAAAGATAAGTCATCATTTTTTAATAGTAGAAACAAAATATAAAATTAAACTAACTATTAAATATAGTTACTTTTCTTTTTTGATTTGCAAAAATCTTTACAAAAATGTGTAAAACATAATTAAACTGTTAAAACACATAATATCTTCTTATTTTCAAGTACTTCCGTTGAAAATTAAAATTGAAAATTAGACTGATTTGAATGATAAAAGGCGAACAAACAAGCTAAAAATTCAAACGTTTCAAATAATCAAGTCTCGTTTAATCTTACTCGAAAAATGTTACGAATTACTGTTATCAAACATTGTAATAGTTGAAATTAATGAGATTTCCTGAGAATGGCTTGCTTAACCCAATTTTGTACGTTAATTATTGTAATATTGTTTTTAGATGGAGATTTTGATAAAAATTTTGCACAAACACCATGAGACGGTATCTTCTTAGCCGCAATATATTTGTCAAAGCTATGATAAATGTATCCAGGAATAATATTTCTTTGGGGAACATCAGAAGGAGTTCTTTTTTGTTTCCTTTGTAAATGAAGCCAAGACCTGATTTGCGGCTCTGTCCTTAACTGGAGAATGGGATCATCAGTAGTTCTTATAAAGTCCCTTAATTCTTTTCCGGATGGTGGTTTAATTTCGAGATTAAAGGCGTTTGGAAAATACGATAAAAATGCATCAATAGAAGACTTCTTCCATGGTAGCCTTTTGTGTCGCTCTACGCTATTCATGTTACTTGTTTTTGTTGGCTCTGTAATAAAAATATATAAGAAATTAAAAGACTTAAAATTATTATGTATTAAATACTTAGTAAATTCTATATATCTTTCTACGAGTTTTGATGTACATATATTATGTTTCTACCTTCATTAGATTTATCATAGTTGCAAATATCAGGTCCACTATCTTTTTCTGTAGAAGTTTGTTTCTCAAGCTCATCATTAGTAAAAACATTGCCAATTCGGTTTGAATGATCAGTAGATTCATGCTGAAATTCTCCTTCAATTATATTTCCACTAATATTACTGTTATCGTGTAATATTTCTTCGTGATTTTCAAAGCCTTGAACCTCTCTTACTTTTTCGGAAATTTCTATGTCGCGCTCAAAAACAGTTAATCGATAATTTTGACGATGTATGTTAGCAGTATGACCTAAGTATCCTGAAAGTTGTTCAATCTCATTTTGATTTATACCTTTTTTCATTTGTTCAGTCGCCATTAACATACGATAAAGCGTTGCCTTTAGGTTTTCAGGATATTTAGCTCCACATTTTGTGGCATAAGAATTCACCAATTTCGAAGCTGATGGACATGAAAAGAATTTCGCAGAGACGTCATGAATAGATGAAAATATAAAAGGGTTGTTTTGAAAAATATTTGCCTGGCTTCTACATGAGATAAGTAGTTCTAAATAATCTATTATTTCTGTATCACAAATGACTGGAACTGGTCTTGATCTTTTCCCACGAAGTTCAATTCTACACTTTTTCCCATTATTCATTTTACCACCGTAGTCTTCGAAAGTCATTCTTTCTACTTCTCCCGGCCTTCTACAGTTCGTCAATTCTAAAAATGATAATAAGCTATTTCTTAATTTTTCGTAACTGTCATCAGAATAATTATTGAGTAAACTATGATGAGCATCTTTCATTTGTTTTAACAAATAGTTGTTCAAAAGTTTAATGTCAGATTGTTCTGGCAAAACTTTAATCTGCTTCCTTCGAATATTAGCCTGCGTTTCTGCTATTGTGTTTCCAATACTGCTATGCCATAACTCATTAAGTTTTTTAATAAATGCTTGTGTTTGTTTTCTTTTAGATTCGTTTTTACTTCCAAGTGTTACATCATAAACGTGCGCAACTTTTTTTATTAAATTAAACATGTCGTTTGCAGTAGCCGGTGACTGCATATATTTTGTGTCTGGATGCGGTTTGCCCATTATTTTAACAACTTTGATGAAGTCATCATAAAAGTCTTCATTAAAGATATCACAGAGCTCATTGATATTTCCATTAATATTTTTTATATGATATAGTAAAGTGCCTAATCTACTTAATTTAGCTCTAACTTGCTTGTAATTGTGCCTTTGGTTTTGTACTTCATATTTCGAAGCTTCAGTGTTCAGCCATATGAATACAGTTTTGTCAAATCGTATTTGTTCAATTGCAACCGACTCTCGCATAGCAGATATAATAAGAATCGCATCTTCTGATGCTATATCGTGATAGTCCCCTTCCGTGGCCCGAGCTCTTATATTTACAACACGCTTTTTGTGAAAAGATAAACCTGTACACTTCCGTACATGCTTACGAATTGATGTTACTATATGTTGCTATAAATGCAAAAAGAGGTATTCACCTCTTTTTGCATTTATAGCAAAGTTTGTACATTGCAACTGTGTTTCGATATTTCTTGTTAGGCCGTCTACAGACTACAAATTCTTCCGGTTTTCTAGCTAGTAAATTATTTAAATAATTTGCTTTCGATCTTAATTTATCTAAAATTATATCTCGCTTAAGAGCCAGCTTAGTTTTAGGGTTCCCTTTAATACATTTCGTTGCAAGTATCTTGTTTAATTTTTGAATAATAGTTTCTTTAGCATGAGCTTTGTTATAGTGAGGAACTAATTTTGTGTACAAAACTTTTCTATTAGGATCATTTCCTTTTTCACGTGCCAGTAGACAGTAGAGACAACAGTTTTTCTTACAACCTCGGTCACTACTTTCAACAAATTCCTTATTTTTGTTTTTTAATAATGGTCCCACGGATTGTAAGTTGACATCAATTGAAATATCGAGACTACTTTGCCCACTATTTTCTAATGATTCATTTTTACTTTTATTGAAATCTTGATTTCTCTTTAATATCGATATATTACTAAAAGAATTGTTACTCTGACCTGTTAAATGTATAAGTATTTCAAGTTAATTATACCAACATAAATGAGTATGAACACCTATATGCATATAATATATTTATTTTATAATTTGCTATTCTACACACATATACATGCAAAAACATATAGAGTATATACACTTGTACTATAAAGTTTATATATAAGTTAAAAATTTATAAAGCTATTATAACGACTAACCATAGTGACTCCTTAGATAAAGTTAAATATTGATCCGGAGGAGAGTAACAGCTTTCCAACTAAAAAAGAGTGAGGCTTAGATTGGAGATTATCGATAAAACGCTCTTCATTATTTGCTTAATGGAATTTAATTAATGAAAGCAGTGAGTAAATTAATAAACTTAGAAAAAATCATTATTTGTAAATTATTTATTTATTTAGTATAGTTTACTTGTTTTTCATTTATAATTTATCCTTGGTTCAACCAATGTCAAGACAGAGTTAGATTTACTTTAGGTACGAGGCGGGGGGGGGGGGAGGCAATAAGTCTTTATAAACAGAAGGAAAAAAAAGTTTTGAGTATGTATTTTTTTTTTATTTTTCTTGTTTATTTTTCTGTTTTATTTTTTTATTTATCTCCTTGAAGGTCGATACATTTTATTAAACGGCCTTCCAGTTTTTTTAAGCCATCAGAAAAATATGATTTCTGAAAACCCTCAAAATAGGCATTTGTTTTGGCGATGACTTAGGAAATAAGAAAAAGTCTCTGGGAGCCAAATCAGGCGAATATAATGGATGGTCAATTAATTCGAACTTTATATTAGTATACTGGATCATGAAAAAAATTTTGAAAGAATCTTTTCAAATTATTATTGGAGAATGAACGTTTTAATTGCATATGATCATTTACAAGAAAAGAAACCAATATTTTTCAGAAAAAAAATGTATAAGAATTCTTTTATGATTATTTGGAAAAAGTGTTAATGAGACAAAATTTTATCAATTTAATAAAAAATGATTTTAGAAAAGGAAAATTTACAATATTAAGAATTTTTTTTTAAATTAATTGTAGAACTAAAGGCAACATAAGAAAACAATATTTTAATTATTAGGAATTAATATATGATGCTGCTATTCACATAAAAAATTATATCAATACTTGATTGACAATTAAAAAAATATTTGTCATACATAAAATGATGAAAATACTTTTATGTTAATTAAATGTTATCTTATTGATTATTAATATAATTAATAGCACCATTTCATTACTGTATAGTTCACAATATTATAAAATGATAAGAAAATTACAAAATTTATTACAAAGGAAAATTACATTTAAAATTAGATAATAAGTAAAAATTTTAATGTCAACCGTATTGAAAATTTAGTTTATAAATCTTTTCAGATTCATAGAATAATTAATTATATAACAAAGTTGTAAGATTTTTATACTTTTCCTAATTCTAACAAATAATTTTAAAGCTTACTTTTTAAAAAGGCTTATTTAATACGTATACATATGTAAATATTGAATCTTAATTACTTTTATCATAGCTAGTATTAGCATTAGAGCGTTATAAAAACATCACATAAGCTGCATAATAATTAGAGCATTATAAAAACTCCACAAAAGCTGCATAATAATGTAAGCGAATAAAAAAAAATGACAAATAATATTTTTATATTACCTGTAACTCTACAAGGAATTTTATTTAATTCCCAATTTGTCACTTCATTGTTTAATGTCTTTGTAATCCTGGTAAGTTCGGAAGCAACTTTATCTATTTCATCATCAATACTTAAATTTTCTGGTTCAGTTTCTATTTCAAAATTTGGTGCATCTATATCTTCAGATTCCATATTTAATTTTATATTTTTTAGCAATTTACAAGTTTGAGAGTCTTTATTTATTTTTTGTGACTGCAAATTCATTTCATCTTCAAGATCAGAAAAATCTGAGATGTCAAAATCACTTAATTCTTCATTTTTATGGTAGTTGGATGTTTGACTTGCAACTGATGACGACTCACTCTCATTTCCAGAAGGTATGTATTCAGATTCCGAGGTACCTATTTCTTCAAATTGAGAATAGATGTCCTCATCTGAATTGTCCATATTTGACATTTTTTTAAACCTAAATATAAGAGCACACATACATATATGTATCTAGAAGTCATTGAATATATTAAATTAAATATCCAATTAAATATTGTATTTACCTTAAATTCCACTTTAAAAAAGATACTTAACACTAAAGTCCTATTATTATCAACACTATTATTATTATCTTTATATTTATATTATTATTATAATTAATATCAGGTTATGACTTTCTCTCAGTAGAGGTTAATAGAAACTTTTTTTAATTTCTCGACTATTAATTATGATATATTAGAATACTGGATCACGAAAAAAAAATAGCTATAAAATTACCCGACCCAACAACTTCAAACTCAGGCTAAAAAGTTAAGCGATTAAAAATTGATTTAAATAAAATGTCACAATAATATTAAAAACGACTTTTCAGCTCAACTGACTGCTTCCCTCCAAAAATTATTACCAATGCGAAAACAGCTCGACACAAATAACATTTTATAAAAAAAAATGATCACATCTCACGTATGTCTAATTGTACTTCTCGAAAAAATAATTATTTATTATTGTACCATTATATTTCTCATAAAAAATAAAAAATATCGTTATCGATAATTCACCTCCTATGTATTCACATAATAGACATTATTAAGCAAAAATAAATTCACAGAAAAATTGTATCTTTTGTAGTCTAAATTGTACCATCAGTACAATTCTATAAATTTGTTTCTAAAAGAAATAATAGGACAATTATAAATTACCACTAATTGTTACAACTTACAAGGATGTCATCCGGAAATGCACTTTGCGCAGGCGTAGAGCTTTATAATTGTCCTATTATTTCTTTTAGAAACAAATTTATAGAATTGTACTGATGGTACAATTTAGACAACAGAAGGTACAATTCTTCTGTTAATTTATTTTTGCTTAATTATGTCTTTTATGTGAATAAATAGGAGGTGAATTATCGATAACGATATTTTTTATTTTTTATGAGAAAGATAATGGTACAATAACAAATGATTATTTTTTCGAGAAGTACAATTAGACATACGTGAGATGTGATCATTTTTTTTTATAAAATGTTATTTGTGTCGGGCTGTTTTCGCATCGGCAACGGGGAGCCGGAAATACAGACAGTCTATCATACTTTTATAACCAATGAATAATTAACGTTCTATCTAATATAAACAGTACAATTGTCAATTCATAATGAATTGCAGATCCTTGATAAATTTAGATAATTTAACTAAATTCTTGATACTTGATCCTTATTTTGGATTTAAAACTTGTCGAAAAAATAGTTATTTAGATGAATGTCCAGAATTAATAAAGTCAATTAAATGTGTTATTGATACATTCAAAATAACATCAGATTTACAAAAAACTAAAGATTTATTATTGAATTTAGCCAAAAATAATAGATTATTGTATTGGTATTCCATTCAAAAAGAGAATTTACTATCACTTAATTTAGAAACTTATTTAACACTTCTTCATCCAACATCAATTTGCAGCATTCAACGCTGTAATAGATATAAGTTAGATGATTTTAATGGATTCAAAGTTGTTGCTGCTAGTGATATAAAAAAAAATACCATTTTACAATGTATGAAAGGATACACAGCTAAAATAAATTTGCAAGAGGAGGAGTTTTTAATTAATAATAAATTAGATTATTCTGTTTTATGGAGTTCTAGAAATAAATGTCAAAAGCTAATGTTAGGTACTGCTGCATACATAAACCATGATTGTTTACCAAATTGTGCATATTATTCAATTAGTAAACAGACTAATCAGTATGAATTAACAATTATTACTTTACGGGATATTAGACATGGTGAAGAACTTTACTGTTATTATGGTGATAATTACTTTGATGAAAACAATGTTAATTGTGAATGTGAAACTTGTTTCAGTAAATGTCGAGAAACATCTCAGATCATTCCTTACCAATATCAATATTTATCTGATACAAATAATTTAAAAATCCAAAAATTATTTTTATTAATTAAGGTAGGTTTTAAAATTAAAAACTGAATTTTCACTTGCTAATACTTTCAAGTCAACGTAGTATTTGAATTACATATATAAAATTACAGGTACTTGCACAAGAAGAACCTCACAGTTTGTGTATTTTAATACCTAGTTACAAACAGTTTGTTGCAGAATTATTCTTTTCTACAGATTGCATACTAAAAGTTCAGAAACACCATTATATACATGTAAAGTTATCTGAATATGAAAAATTAAGTTCAAAAAATCTCAATCTACAAAAAATAAACATAATTAGTACATTAAATATCGATAAAATTTGGTATGGTATTATTTACCATGTAAAATATTCTTAAAATATATTTCCAGCAAGTAAATAATGATATTTTATTTATACTAGGCTGTTTTATGAAATATTAAAAGCCAGTTTTACACTAATTGAAAGAATGGAATTTTTACAATTTGTCATCAGCTTATTATTTTTTTTCAAACAGTTTTTTAAAAAAAACACAGAAAATATGTCGATATTAGAATTTTTTACAGTAGATTGTTCTAGGAATCATCATACATTAAAAAAAATAGAGATATTTTTAATGTTATCAATTTTGAGGTTCAGACATAAGAAGACTCAGAAAACTGTTAAATACATTTTCAAAGAAGCTCAGATAAAGCTCAAAAGATGTGATACAACCAAAGGTAAAAATTGATTTATAAAATTAAATAAAAAGTTAAATAATAAAGAGAAAAAAATGTTTTATTATTTTATGAATGAAATAATACTGTTATTTATAGCTCATTTTTTTCAGGATTCAATAATAATAGCATATATTTTCCAATGAAGAACTTGCATACTTCATCGGTCTCTAAATTATTGACAAGTAGAGAAAAAGCAAGTAAGAAAATATAAATATTTTTTTCCTAAATTAAAATTTTTTTTATGAGTATTGACTGCATACAATATTATGTAGTTTTAAAATATTTAAAAATATGTGCATTAAAAAATTAATTAATGCACATAAGGCAAAATTGAAAATAAAAGCATTCTGTTGCTTTTGATTCGTTTCTTTCAATTGTTGACAAGACAATATAAGACATTTAGTAGCCGAACATGATTTTAAAAAAATATACTTTAATTTATAACAAAATCATTTCATTTTTTACGTATTTTCAGAAATTCTGAAGGGCCATCAAGAAAACAATACAAAGAAAAATCGCGATGCTTTCTGTCCTTATTGCTATAAATTTATAGCAAAGTTTAATGTTCATTTAGAATCAAAACATTCATCAGAAAAACAAGTGTCTTACTTTATCAATCTTATCGACGAAAAGAAGCATTTAAGAAGAAAATTAATATCTGCAATTCGCCATGAAGGGAATTCGATATTATCTGGAATTTTAGATGAAATTGTACCTGTAACTAGATCAAGTACATGTAGCAAAAAAACACAATGTGTGGATTGTAAGGGATATTACTCTTCAAAAACCATATGGAAGCATAGAATAACTTTTCATAATATTTGTAAATAATTTTCTATAATTACAATAAAATAATTTATCAACGAGCAATTGTATCTATGTAAACACATAGTAAAATTAGTAAAAAAAGTAAAGTAAAAACTAGATAAATGAATTTTATTACACTATTTTAAAGGGATAGTACTTGACTGGTCTGTAAAGCTTAATTAAAATCTTAGAATTTGTGTTTATTCATGTACATAATTTATTTCATATCTTAAATCATTGTTAAATATTCAAGTTCACGTTCAAATTCAATTGATTCATTGAAATCATTGAGACTGATTATTGGATTCAGAAGTAATTTATTTGTGACTCTAGAAATTTTAGTAATATCATAGTAGAATATTTAGTAATATTAGTAAATAAATTTAGTAATATATTTTAGTAATATCATTTTCAGGTATATAATCATCTTTATCTGATGAATCATTATTCGTTTGTGCTTTTGATTCATTACTGTCACTATCACTGCTAATCTCATTTTCAATTGTTGAAACATTAGGTTCTACATCATCTACATCAGTAACTTTTTGGTCAATTAGAATATCAATATCAGATGACAAAGTTTCAGTTAATTCTGATTTCGAATCTGATGTTACATCAGCAGTTTTATAATTCGCATACGTTAGTTTTCTAGGTCTGCTTTTATTTAATTTACAAGTTTTTGAATTTCTTTTATGTACTTTTTGTGTAATACTATCTGATTCACTACTTAGTATTGCATTGGCATTGTCAGTAAAGCTTTCATTAGATTCAGATTGACTAGGTTTATACTCTGAAACTGATGTACCAGATTCTTCAAACTCAAAAATTTCAAAATTGTTTGAGTCGTAATTAGACATTATTATAGATTACATTTGACAGCTTAATTTTAACAATTAATTTTTAAAGCGATAACGAGTTTTTTATCAATAATGTATGAGTAATCTCAGGAGTAACAAAACTCTTTGATCTTTCATAGGTTATACCTCAAACTCTTTGTTCAACGTGAAAAATACGGTATTCAATAACAATTGTAGTTCGTTCCCACAAAATTTTATTTTTATGGATGGAAAAAAAATGTAATAATCTAAGGGTGATTACAGAACGATTCTGACACCTCCAAAAAGACACGTCATTCTGTCACATGCACAGCCATCTTAAGGATATTCAAGAATATTCAAATCCTCGAAGTGACATGAAATAAAAGTATTAATATATTACATTAGTATCTACATATATTGATAACGACTTAATTTGCAGTAATTTTCAAATAGCGACAAATCTATCTATGATATTGGAAGTACTATATATGGAAAAAAAAAATATCCCCAAAGTGACCAATAGCGATATATATATATATATATATATATCTTAGGATCAATTACATTATTCAAATACATCATTTTTCCTTCCGAATTTAATACTTTCACTACTCCCTTTCCTTCATATTTCAAACGAGCGCCCGGCGATTTGTTCGCGCAATAAATGAAACCGTGTTTGTCTTTATCGAGTGTGGTAAAACTTAGTCAATCGCTACTCATGTGATCAGACGCTCCCGTGTCCGCGATGTATTTGTCGATCGTTACATCTCCGTTCTCGCGTTCGTTGTCGCTTTCGTCGGAATTTGACACATCGTTCTGTGCAGTTTCCTCGCCTTCTGCCAAGTTACACTTTACTTTACTGTAATTATTCTTTGACCTTTTGACTGTACCTCGCTTGCGCTCATCTTGATGCCTCGACTTGTCTCTCGGTCTTTCATATTTTCGTGGAGCAGGTTCGTCTCTTGGTCTCTTGTGCACTTGTTTATGCTCGTCTCCTTCTGCTTTTCTTTTTAGTCCTTTCGAGCGACATTCGTTGGCCTTGTGTCGTGCCTATTTTTAGGCAGTTGTAGCACAGGAATTTGCCGGGGTTAGGGCAGTTTTCTTGTGTATGTCCTTCGCCACCACACCCATGGCATGTGAGTCTGCCGGTCCTTGCTTTCGTTGCGACGTGATTGGCTTTGGGTGGTTGTGTTACGCTTAACGGTCCAACCTGTAATATTAATCGTTTTAGTTCCATGTAACTTAATTTTTCTCCTCTTGTCATTTCGTTTATGCAATCGGCTGTCGCTATGGATGGTATATATTTCTTAACTGCTTGATAGATTAAATTCTTTTTGTCTTTATCAGGATATTCTTTCACATTCGCTTGATTTTCATATTGTTTAACATAGTCTTCAAATCTTGAGCATAGTTGAACTATGTTTTCTTTGGCAGGGTTAAACTTTATGTTAATTAGTCTCTTATAAGTGTCGTGTTCAGTCATTCCCGTTTCTGACATTTTGATTTGTTTGATCTCTTCAATTACTTTTCTCGGATCGTTATACTTCGTCGCGATATCAATATATTCTTTTCCCAAGTGATTCAATACAGTGTCGAGTACTCTAATTTAATCGTCTTGTAATTTATCCGGATTGGTGTTATTGCGTTTTACATCGTCCTTCTCTAATATATAAAAGAGTTTTCGAGCTTTCAATTCTGTATGCAGTAATCTTTCAAATACATCATATCGTGTATCTTTCGTCAGACAGTATTTCCGATTCGTTCCGCCGTCCGAGTTTGTTAATTCTACACTCACTCTGCTAAAATCGTTCGTGTTTGTTAATCCGTCAGATCTAGTAAATTTATCTTGAAGATCTTTGCCGATCTTATCAGTTAGAATTCTTGTTAGTTCGTTTAAATTTTTACATACGAGTACGTGTGGGTCGTCTCCTCTTTCGTCATTCGTTCGGTTATGTGTTGAATCGGATGTGTTTACCTGATCATCATTGTCGTTCCTTCCTCCTCTGTTCTCCGATGAAATTCGCTGAACAGTGCTACACGCCAGTGGCATCCTTCTCCTGTCAGACAACCCTCCGATCGGGGACTCCAAAGTCACCGCGTTCTGGCTTTCTTCGTGCGGTGTAGCTGTCGGCGGTGGTCTTGATCCTTCATTTCGCTCAACTTGTTTCTCCGTGTTGGTTGTCTGTTGCATTGGTGCCGTCGGTCCAATCATGACCGTGAGCAGCGTGTCCAGCTTGCCACACAGCGTGTTCACGGCGTTCGTGTTAGATCGTATTGCCTCTCGTATGTCCTTTGATTCTGTCATCAATTCGTCTACTCGTTCTCTCAAATAGGACAGGTTCGTCGTTGCTCCTTCGTTTCTGCCTCGGATGAGAATCCTCTTTGGATCCTTCATCCCTTCCAGACGTCCAATAAGCCAGCCTGTCTCAATTTGTGTGAGGGTGGATTCATCTGTAAACATTCGTGTCTTATTAATGGAGGATATGGTGCTACAAGGCAGAGTTACAGTACAACTTATAAGTACCTGCAACAGGTATCTGCTCCTGCAGTCAGTACAACTTGAGTGCATTCGCTTTAACCCTAGGACTGTGAATGTAAATATTGTCACGCACAGCTGTGACTTACACTCATAGAACCCTCCAAACGAGTGAACTCTCATCCTTCAGAGAGAACTCTCTATGACCGGTCGGTGTCATTATTTTCAATATCTGTGAAAATATTGACTCGTATGAATACTCTTTTGGCTGAGAGTATTCCATTCGCATTCGTTTTGTTAATACAAATTTTATTCTTACTGATTACGATGAATTCCATGTTTGTAAATGATACAACCAGTCCCATCTTTCTCGGTTTTATCATAATATATGCCCTTTCGTTCGGGTGTGCATTCGTTTGATCAAGGTGCCGAATGATCTTGTTTCTGATGGCATCCATCATGTCTGTAAATTTCCATTTCAATTAATGTCATTCTATTTCAATGAATTCGCGCGCTGTAGTTTCGCGCTTTCTTATAGGTTACGTGTGCATATATGCCCGTCTCAACATATATAGTTCGCGTTATCCTTTACTGTCGAGCGCTCTCTCGCTCGCACGCGTCATTCGTATATGTATGTACGTATACATCGCTCCGTCTCGCTCGTTCAACACGTCTGCGCGCGCTCGCTTTCTTTCCTTCTTTTCTTGTTTGAGCCTGCGCGTGGAGTTTTGGCGCGAATCAACAGGTTCTACGCCGCTGTTCCCACGTGATTGTCGCCATTTTGATTTTTCGCGCATTTCCTAATTTTCATTTCGTAGAATTCATTTCTTTCCTTTTTTTATTTTTTATTTATTCTCGGTCGTTGTCTAGTCAATTTTCGTTATTTATATTTCTTTTTCAATTTTCGATTTATTTTTGAATTTTTAATTTTCATTTTTATTCACTCACGTTCGCGTAATTATCTTAATTCTATTACTTACGCATCGAAGAATTCAATCTACTCGTCGACTCTTCTCCCATGGTTTTTTCTTCTTTGTTCTTGCGTTCGTTCATCTTTCTTTGTTCTTTGTTCTTTCTTTCGCCTTCGTTCTTTCTTCTTTGTTCTTTCTTTCGCCTTCGTTCTTTCTTCTTTGTTCTTTCTTTCACCTTCGTTCTTTCTTCTTTGTTCTTTCTTTCGCCTTTCTCACTTTTCGTTTTTCACTCGCGATTTCACTTTGTTCTCACTCGCGCAGCGGAAGCGTGCTGGGCCCATAACCTGTTGTTCTAGGTGTTAAATAAATGAACGTATTTGTGATTGTAAATCTCGAGCAGAGTTTTATTGGTATAAATTATTAAGACGTCTATACGTCCGAACTGCAGCTCTGACAAACAAGGTGTGTGTGAGCCGGCCGGCTAAGCTCACGCTAGAGCTCTCGGAACAGAAAGTGGGCGGGGACAAGCGTCAGAGCGCAACTAGAGCAGGGGTGCGCCACCTCTCTGCCAACAAATAAATATATATATTTATATATATATATTTACTAAAACTAATGTCGCATATAATACATTATAAAATACTGCTGTCGGAATTCCCGCCAGCAGATTTGGAGGAGTCTGAAAAGAAAAATGATATTAGAATTGAATGAGAAAGATTAATAAAGAATATATTACTTACATTAATCATAAGTAGTATAATCATGGCGTTGATCGTTCATAAAATATTTGTTGAATTCATATTTCACTGAATAAACACTTTTTATACAAAAATAAAAAAAAAACAAAATCACTAA